CATCGGAACGGACTGACTGAGATCAATAATCCTTGGATCGAGAAATCGACCGCGTCGCAATTTCATTTTTTCATAGTATGGACCACTGTGTCTACTGGAAGCTAATTTGCATTTCGAAATTTTCTAAAGTTAGTGGCAACAGTTACAAAACTGATGCGCGGGAGAAACCTAGAATCAGTTACCTGTTCCTGATTTGGCCGATATGGATAATTGGAGTAAAAAGTCGGATTCATGACCAGTTTCTTGCGCTTTCTGCAAGGGCCCTCCGTACTATCCAGCATGTATTTATCCAACACAGACGCATGCATTGGCCCCCACAGTCCGCGCTCCCTCATCAATTCTTGTTCAACAGTAAACCATTCATCGAGGCACCACTTTTCAGTGTGTTCGTGCCACTGCAAAAACACGGGCAGTATGAATGACAACTAACCAATGAGTGCTGAAACTATTTAGAAAGTACCTGTTGATATTGAGAGTACTGCAATTCCACGAGCTCTTGAATGAGAGAAATATGCACCTTCATCCAAACGGTGAGCGTCTGCAAGAAATAAAAATACATGTGAAAAAGAAGTCCAATCAAAGCAACAGCTTTAGCTATGCTACAGAATGTTCTGCTTGTTTGGACGAGAAAATGAGATGATCAAAAATAATCTTGACAAAAGTGGTAAATTACAGGCTGCTACATTCACCTTAGAGTGCAAAGTTCGAGGATAATATTCAGTCGATGACAAAAATTTTTCAATTATCCGCATATTATTCAACAAGAATCCCAAATAATTCTGTTCCGGTGGCCCCTTCATCGATATTACTAGCCATCTTGAAAGGATCAACGGCGTTCTCTCTCAGGTAAGTCATATCTCTAATGAGTATGACTGACTGACCAATTACTGTTCAAGTTTAAATAAAGCATAGAGAATATCTGTGATCTCGTATACGACTCAGGTCTAGAGTATAACCCACGTAGAACGCTGTATGTTAGAGTCGATCCCCCACGCAAATCTGTATATTTTACATAGTTTATGAGGAAATTAAATTTCTATCCGTGAATCTCTTTCTTCTCTCTCTGGTCGTTCATCTGGGCCCGGAAGATGTTGCCGGTAACGAAATGCGACGATAAGTAAAACTTTTACCGTCATTTCTCACTGGGGTTTGAATACCAGGAATCAGTCAAATACTCCATTTTTTATTGCTTTGCATTTGTGGCAGTTGCTTATTATAATTTGTGTATTATGCTTATATGGCCAAAACAGTAGATCATGTGTTTACTGAAATGACAGTAGATGCTAATTTTTGATGGTCCATTCGCTAATTTAAGCAACAATGTTGTTGAGCTGATTGAATGTCAACATATCAACCTCAAAGTTTCCACAGGATCGGTTATCTTGCCACCGATGTGCTCTATCTGCAAAAATGACAGTCAAGTACAGTTCAGTACTTGCGTCGATTGCCAATGAAAAAGAGATAGGAACAGCTAAACTTAAGCATGAAATGTAAGCAGCAATTTGACCCCTCCCAACC